CAAATAGATGCGAATAGTTAATGATTTCTTGAGTGTAGACGTTTCAATGATGTATGACTGAGAAATATGCATTACTTTAAGTTTATTAGTTCGTTTAGGTTAAAACTGTGAAATCCAAATCGATGGAAATTTTTAAAATGCAATTCAAATACATAAATCATAAATGCAGGCTGCTGTTCTGCACAGCAGACGAAGCTATACTGCAGACTGACGAGACGACGCACACAGACGATCATCATCTCTGCGTTTGGTTCTTAAACGTCTGACGCCTCCATCAGAACACATTTTGGGAACACGGCAGCGGTTCCTGTAGCTCTTTTGGTGAAAATCATAACCAGCCCATTTCCTCTCATTCATCGGCTGCGCTGGGAAAGTCTTTTATATCCTTCCTGCGGCGCGAGCGGCTCTGGCTCTGCACGGCTCTTCTGCAGAACACGAGGCCAGACGCTTGAGAGCAACTATTGTCTTTTGTTTGTATCTCTAAGCCACACACAATGCACGGCTTTCCTTCTCATATAAATAATACCGTCATCCTAAAACCAGCCTCGCTGGCTGCGTGGAGGGCCGTTCTCACCAGATTCTCATTCGTACACGTCCCGCTTTAGTCTGAACCAATCCTTTTTGTTTCCCAGAACGTCTTCATCTTCTCAATAACAGGTGCAGGATTCTCCTGCAAGCCAAAGCTGAAATCACTGGCTGATAAATGAACCAGCGATTATGTCGAGATGATAACGAACGGTCAAACTGAGTGATGAGAGACCCAACAAAAACCACAAACACGGCAGTGTGAGCTTGACAAATGCTCTAAATCTACGTTATTTAATTAAAACATTAAATAATAGCTGTACAGTACATGATTCATTTGGTCCGTCCAGAGATCCTGACAGATCTTCACTCACGCTCTCTATTAACACTGAATTAATTCAGCATCAGTGATCGCAGCGAGACGAGGAATAAAGCCTCCAGCTTCTGAAGGAGAACAGCATGAGCTCCTCTTCAGTCAGATCACGTCTGACCGGTTCTTCTCTTCAAGGTCCATCAGCATCGTGAAGGTCCAGCGCAGGCTAGGCGAGGATGTCGCTCCGCTTGCTGCACCACACCACCAGCACCACCATGGCCAGCGTGAGGAAGACGGGCACGAGGATGAGGAGGGTGAGCGTGACGTCCGGCGGGTCGACGAACACCACGTGCTCCAGGCTGCAGTTGGAGAAGAAGTGCTTGTGGATGCTGATGATGAAGCGCTCCACCGCTGGGTTCGGCCAGAAGCAGCCGATGCGCTCTGCGTTCATCTCCGTGCAGAAGGAGAAGACGTGATACTCTCTGAGGAGACAAGCAGAAACTCACGTTATTATTCATCTCATGGAGAAATTCAGGCAATCAGCGGATCAGTCGTTTCCTTCAGGAACGGCTCATATTCAGCATTTAATGAGTCTTTTCAAATGAACCTGTCCCGTGACATGAGCGCAGAGCTTTATAGTGCTAATAACGCTCCTTCCTCTTCATCTTCACTGAGACGCAGATGAACAGAGTTTACATCATAGTACACAACACAATACTCGTCCTCAATACTCCTGATCGATGTCCAAGACACAAGACATTAATACTGCTTGACGGACATGAAGCCGGATTCTGAGGATCCTGAAGATGCAGTATTTTCTGATTTATGGAGTGAATCCCTTCTGAGAAACCTTGAACTCTAATAATGACCAGAAAATCTAGCAGGAATTATGAACCTGACTTTATCCAATGTTTAGATTTATGTTCAGTAAATTCATGCAAATGAGTGCATATTTAATTAGATAATGCCTAATTTGCATATTTAAACATAACATTTCAGAAAACGTGTAATAAAAAATGTTTGCATGTAAACAATTACAGTATATATGAGTTTGATATGACTATAAAACACCTTGATGGTCTTACAAACAGGCTTTGTTTTCTTTATGAAAATTAATTTATTCTGATTTTGGTTTAAAATACAAGTGAGTGAGTGAGTGTGTCGGGGTCCCGGTATTCCTTACGTTAAAGGGACCAAAAGGATAGTAATTCCAGTACATTTTGTCCTTGTGGGGACATTTGTTTTGGTGCCCATGAGGAAACAAATGTTTTGAGAATCTAAGAATGCCTGTAGTTTTGTGTGAGGGGGAGGTTCAGGGTAAGGGGATAGAAAATACAGTTTGTACAGTAGAAAAACCATTATGTCCAGAGTCTGTGTGTGTGTGTGTGTGTGAGTGTGTGTGTGTGTGTGTGAGAGTGTGTGTGTGTGTGTGTGTGTGTGAGTGTGTGTGTGTGTGTGTGTGTCTGTGTGTGTCTGTGTGTGCGTGTGTGTGTGAGACGATCAGCACCACTCATGTGCCGTCGGTGTGTTCAGAGTCCATTAGCGCCGCCGTCGCTGAATCTCTGTTAGTCATGTGATCTTATCAGCTTTTAGTAAAGTGCTCATCAGTGACCGAACCGCTCGCTATCTGACATCAGCAACCATCTTCAGTAAAACACAGCTGCTGTTCCATCTGCTGATGTTATCATGGAGAAAAACCTCCACCAGACCAGACGCGTTTGAGCAGGTGAATCTCCAGAGAAACGCTGGACCTGAATAAATGAAGTTAAAGAGGTTCATGAAGGTTTCCTGTGATTAATATGCAAATGAGTGTGAGCCGTGATTGGTCCCTGCTGATGCCTGCAGGCTCTTTCCTCCAGAGGTCTGGGAAAACAGTCCCGCTCAGGATCTCAGTAATTGGGTTCATGTTGTGACCTGTCTAATCGTCCGTCTTAAGAAAGCGTCCAGCGGTGAACCTAATGCTGTGGGAGTGAGTCGTGGGTCACTGATGTTCACCAGCTCAAACCCTCATTTCTGATTATTATATATTTCAAACATTTTTTGTATTACACATTTTCTGAAATGTTATGTTTAAATATGCAAATGAGGCATTCTCTAATGAAATATGTACTAATTTGCATACATTTCCAGAACATACTGTATATCTGAACATCGGATAAAGTCATGTTCATAATTATTGTTTGATTATGTTGACATATTAGAGTTCAAAGTTTTTCCAGAGGGGATTTTGGATTTCTTTTTTCATCACTCCATAAACCATAAAATACTGTAAACAGACAGAAAACAAACACATTTTCACCATGTAAAATGTTGTATAAATCAGTGTGAGTGAAATATGAACAAACCTTCAGAATATACAGTAGAGAGGAATAAAAGTTTGGTGTATGTTAGAGAAAAAACTCTTTAAAGATATGGATTGAGATTGAAATCTACAGACGCAAACAGATGAAGTGCAATAAAATTAACACTTAATAGTCAGTGTGTTTTGGACGTTTTCTTTCCACTAGTCTGAAAGAAGAGACATGATATGGAAGCAAAAACTGAGCAGTGCATGAAAACACACTGGTTTCGCCATATTTTGAATAAATGCTGTCAGTTTTCTTCATAGCTGAAGACATGAGCTGATCTGGACATGTGAAGGGTCACTGTCATCTCTAGAGTGAATGCTGGCTTCTGTTCCAGATAAACATGTAAACAGTGTTGAGGACGTGTTTGTGCTTCTGGTTTATGAAGGGTGACGCAGGTCAGCATCTCCTGACCGGCTGACGAGTGTCAAACGCTCCTCGAGTCTCTGGAAGGAGCTCAAGATCATGTCAGAATGAACTGCGAGTTCCTGGAACGTCTTCAAGAGCAAACATCTGCGGTTCGCAGATTCATCAATCACAGCGGAGAGTTTACAAACACACGCAGCAGATCATTGAGTCTGTGAGAACCGCTTTAACTACTAAACTAGTTACCCGTCCGAGTCCTCACAGCACAAATATATATATAAATAACTCATTCCTACTACAGCAGAATAAATACAGAAGAGCGCAGCGTGTTTCAGCGTGTAACGCTCTCCAGTGTTGCATCATTCATCATATTTGAGTGGATGATGATCCAGATACATTGATCAGCCTTATAAAAGTGCTGTGACGGGAAGCATCTCATTACACTCAATTACTTCAATCAGAAATGTTGAACTGAACTGATCTGGATAATGACACAATTGTCTTCTGTAGAGCTTTTTTACAGCTGAAATTGGATTTGATGAACTGATGAACATTAACATTATTTTCCTGTTTATTACTGTGAAGCTGGTTTGAATCAATCTGGATTGTATAAAGTGCTGTAGAAATAAATGTGACTTGACATGAATTGAAAATGACACACACACACACACACACACACAAAGACTCGTTGAGGTTTAATTAAGCTGGACTCGCTGAGATGATTGACTTTTGTATTTGTATTGGAAAGTAAAGTGGTGTTGACTGAGTTTCTGTGAGTTGACTGTGATGATGATGAGGATGGTGATTCACCTGATGAAGTGCGTGAGGTTGCATCTGTCGTCAGGATGAACATGATTCATGTCGATGCTGAATTGTTCTCCACATCTCTCCATCTCCAGCAGCAGGAGCGTCTGATTGCACTGCAAGAGCCACGGCCGCTGGGTGAACAACAGATCAACGCCGTCTGCGTCTGAAGAGACAGAGCGTCAGTCCACATGCTGAGAGACACGACTGAGACATGATTGAAATATGACTGAGACATGACTGAGACAACTAAGACATGATTGAAATACAACTGAGACATGATTGAGACATGACTTATGACCTATGCTCTCATTACGACCTATGCTCTCATTGTCAAATGCAGAAATGCTAATTCATGCGTTCATGACCTCAAAGTTAGATTATTGTAATGCTTTATTGGGTTGTTGTTCTGCACGCTTAATAAACAAACCCCAGCTGGTCCAAAATGCAGCAGCTAGAGTTCTTACTAGAACCAGGAAGTATGAGCATATTAGCCCGGTTCTGTCAACACTGCACTGGCTCCCTATTATACATCCTATAGATTTTAAAATCTTGCTTATTACTTATAAAGCCCTGAATGGTTTAGCACCTCAGTATTTGAGCGAGCTCTTATCGCATTATAGTCCTTCACCCATTTGATAATACCTAGAATATCAAAATCAACTGCGGGCAGCAGATCCTTTTCCTATTTAGCTCCCAAACTCTGGAATAATCTACCTAACATTGTTCAGGAGGCAGATACACTCTGTCAGATTAAATCTAGATTAAAGACCCATCTCTTCAAAAACAGCGGAGACCAGGACCACTAGATGAGCCCCAGATACAGATCCCCTGTGAAGGCCTTGTCTCAGACGACCACCGGGACAAGACCACAGGCACCAGACGAGTCCTCTGCACAATCTGACTTTGCTGCAGCCTGGAACTGAACTGCTGGTTTCATCTGGCCAGAGGAGAACTGGCCCCCTGACTGAGCCTGGTTTCTCCCGAGGTTTTTTCTCCATTCTGTCCCCGATGGAGTTTAGGTTCCTCTGGCTTGCTTAGTTGGGAACGCTTAATATCCAGCGATATCGTGGACTTGATTGCACAGATACTGTTTAAACTGAGCTGAGCTGGATGATGACATCACCAAATTCAATGATGAACTGTCTTTAACTGAAAAATGAGTGTTTACTATTGTCCTTCTGCATTATTGACACAATATTTTCCTAATTAATGCTGTACAGTTGCTTTGACACAATCTGTACTGTTAAAAGCGCTATATAAATAAAGGTGACTTGACACAACTGAGACATGACAGAGACATGAGAGACACTCACCTGATAAACCTCTCGTCATCAGCGTGTTCACTGCTAAAACAAAAACAGTTTCATGATTAGGAACCAGATATAACTGGATTCATATCTGAGATTCTGTACAATCATTTCTCTTTAGTTTAATGAAGACTGTCACAAAGAAAAATCCCTGTTTATACATAAAATATATGAAATAAACCTGCAAGAAAAACAATATTATGAACCACATTTCAACTGAACTCGTTTCATAGTTATTGGACTGAATCAAATCAACACTGAACTCCACAATTGTCTTCTGTAGAGCTGCTTATAGATCAAACTGAATTAGTTTCATAATTTTGCAGCATTAACACTGTTATTTTCCTGTTTATTTTTGTGGTGATGCTTTGAAACAATCTGTATTGAATAAAGAACTCTAGAAATAAAGGCGATTTGACTTTTAAACCCAAGTACATTTATACAGTGGGGAAAAAAAGTATTTAGTCAGCCACCAATTAGATGCTTTAATCCAAATTACAGCTAGATCAACCAGCGAGACTTGTTTGGTAACCAACTTCACCAGAATCCTCATGCGAGTTGAGCAGCACTTTTGTTCTGGTGAAGAGTGTGTCAGTGTTATTCCAGCATCTAAAGCAGCCTGCAGCAGCATGTGAATGAATCTGGTGTTCAGCAGGGCTGTCAGTCCGTCCCTGAGGAGATGCATGAATATTAAGCACAGCAGACAGACGGCGGGACGCGCATGCGAGTGCACATCAACTCAAACTGTGTTCAGAGACATTAATACAGTCTCCAGTAGAGTCCTGACTCAACAACATCACAACGGCGCTTCATCTCTGAGAACTTCCACACACGAAAGACAATCTTGCATTTATATTTGATAATAAAGCCATAAAACAGGCAACAGATCCAGTGACTTCAACTGCACATTGAAAGTCAGTATGACGTGTGCATGATTATCACATTTGCACTTGTGTTCAGTTCAAACATCATGTCGTTTCTTGTACTATAGTGCACGGCTCTAATGTTCAGACATCCGATGAACGAGCCTCACGTGTCTGAATGTGTCACCAGTTCAGGCCTTGAAAACACTTGACTGTTATTGTGCTAAATTTAGCGGTTTCCTGCATGCGGACACAGACGTGAGCACCGTGATAATGCTCAAAGGCTTCTGGAAGCTGCTGAGTTTCCCTGGAGAAGCTGTCCATCATCACGGAGACGCTCGGAGCAGGGCATTCTGGGATCAGGCTTGAGTTAAACGGTCCAGACACTAAAATGCTCAACCTACATGAGCAGGTGATTCATTCAGAGACGAGACACACTGTACTCTAGTAAAAGATGTGAATGGCACTGTAAATGTCAAACGCCACACACACTCGGATCTCGGAACAAGAGAAAGATTCAAGCTCATGTGAAAGCCTGATGATACACAACAAAACACACATATGCACTAAATTTAACATTTATGTATTTGAATTGCACATACAATTTCCTATTGGTTTACACCAGGGGTCTCAAGCTGGCGGCCCGCGGGCCATTTACATGGTGAGGGAAGTTTACAAGGGAGTTGATCGCTAAAACGGGAAAGCCATTCACAGAAGGGCAGTTTATAAAGGATTGCATGCAGAAAGTCGCTGATATTCTTTGTCCAGAAAAGGAAAACTTGTTCAACAATCGCTCTTTGTCGGCAAACACAGTGGCAGAGTGGATCAGCGAGTTATCGAGTGACATTTATGATCAGTTACGCAGCAAATCTAAAGTTTTCACTGCATACTCTGTGGCGCTTGACGAAAGCACAGACACAGCAATTTTCATCAGGGGTATTAATGACCAGTTTGAAGTGACGGAAGAGTTGCTGAGTTTGTGTCTAATGCACGGCCGTACCACAGCCAAAGATATATTTCAGCAGCTGTGTGACGCAATTGAGCGCGCTGGTTTGCCGTGGAACAGGCTGGTCGGCATTGCCACTGATGGTGCCCCGTCTATGACTGGGGTAAAAAATGGACTGGTAGCACTAGTACAAAGAACGTTAGAAGAGGAAAATGCAGATCCAGCAGTTGTTCTGCACTGCATTATTCACCAACAGGCACTGTGCAGCAACTGCTTGAAATATGAACATGTCATGTCTGTTGTCCTGAAATGTATCAATTACATCAGGTCGAGGAGTTTACAGCACCGCCAGTTTCGAGCCTTTTTAAAAGAAATTGAGTTTCTCTGCTGTCTGAAATAAATGATCGACCTTCATCAGTAATCAAAACAGCTTCATCTAAACGAGCTCTTCACAAACGAGCTTCATATTCAAGAGTTTGTGGAATCGTTAATATCTCTGCTCCTCTGTTCACTTCTGTGTTTGTTTGTACCATATTGATATTTATAAAAAAATGAATGAACTGACGAGGTTATAATGTGCGTTCTCATAGCAACAGCTCCGTCCACTCAGAGCAAAAACACAACGAGAGCAATTAAGCTCAACTGGGTAATTCTTTTATGATAAAAACAGCATTAGTGTGTGTGTGTGCGTGTGTGAGTGTGTGTGTGTGAGCGTGTATGTGTGTGTGTGTGTGTGAGTGTGTGTGTGTGTGTGTGTGAGCGTGTATGTGTGTGTGAGTGTGTGTGTGTGTGTGCTGACACACGTGGCTGATAGTGCTGCTGGATCACAGTCTCAATTAAATCTGAAATTAAAGGTGTTTCTGCGCTTCCTAATGGAACTGTGTCCAATTTGCCTTCGCAATTTTCTTCCAGTCACTTCAGGTTAGTGTTTAAGGGCCGGTGCTGAATGTCAGTCAGCGCAAATCACTGCTTGTTCACAAACATCGGCAGGCTGCTGTTAATCACTGCTGGATCTTAATTAAACACGCCTGTGCATTTAGCAGGTGCTTTTATCCAGAGTGTCTTCAGTGAGTGAATCAAACCCATGATGGCCATTACTAGTGCAGTGAACTACAGCAGCACTGGCTTTCACATCGGAGTAAACGAACGTATAATGTTTAAACTGGCCACAGTTATATTAGACATACTACAAAAATACATTTCAAAGTTGTAAATAAAGATTATTGGAGTACATTTTATAAGAAAATACTATTTAAGTTTGTCTACTTCAAAACTTGCCATGTCTTTGTATTTATTTGTGAACTGCACTATCAGTCTCTGAGTGAAAACTGTCTGAAAGCAAATCCTACACTGATGTGTTTCAGTGTTGATCGTCTTCAGTCGTTTCATCATGTGTTGGTCATCATCTCTCAGACACAATAATAGGATGAACATCGGCGCTCGTGTGGAAGAGTGTGAAACACAGCAGGGTCAAAAGGTCAAAGCTCAGATGAACAGGTCATGGGAATGATGGGAAATAACACAGACAGACAGTGGAGCCCAGAACGGAAGGATAAATGATGATTCCTCCATCATCATTCCAGACTAATTCAACCTCAGCACACGTTTAACTACAGACTGATGATGAGGTTAAATAAACATCAGTCCTAAAATACCAGTCAACACTAGAATTTTCCAGTGATTTTCATTATTTATATAGCATGAAAATGAATCTGATTTAAACAAACACATCTCTTACTAACTTTAAGATGAAAACTCAATCAAATGCAAACATGCGATGAGAGGAGCAGAAGAGGTTTCTGTATAATATGGATAAATTGTATTATTTTACGATGTTCCTGACTTTCTGATAATACATTTGTGAAGATCCTTCAGCGAGTTCATCACCGCTTCCATTTAACGCAGCTGAAATCAGCCAAACATCGCTCTCATTTCCGTGTTCAATCTGCTCCTCAGGTGGACAATCACATCTGATCAGAATCAATGTTGGCTGTGCTCCCCGAGGAGTCTGATGTCACTCTATTAGCGGGACGTCCTCGAGGAAATCGAGGGTTTGAGATGCTCTGCTGGAGGAGAAGAGCCGTGTAATCAGCAGAAGAGCCTGAGAGACTCCATACAGACATCACAGAGCTGTGTTCATACCAGCCTTCTGAATCCACATCAGTGTTTCTATGCACTGCTGTATGCAAGACGTTTGTCATACTGACACATGCATGAATGTCTATATCTGTTATAATGTGTGGCAGCTGATTTTCACAAGATTTAGTTATTATTGATGTTAGATAATTCTGCATGTGGTACACTGCAAAGTTTAGTCAGTGACTATAATTTAACTATAATTAAATGTGGGACTGAATCTGAAAATATGATGATTCACATTCAGATAAACAGAAATGGATGAAACTAAAAAGCTGATATGTCATAATAGATCTGTGCTTAAAGTCTCAGAGTGTAAATGCAAACTATTAGACCTGCCATTTGTTTCTTTGCTCTTCATTTTATTAGTATTTTTTCTCTTTTAAAGCAATGTTTACTTAATTGAAAAATATTTGAAGGCTAGATGATATTTTAGTATACTACTATGGTTTTTATTAATATTTAGAATTAGTGTTGATTTTTATTTAATTTTAGTTAAAGTTTTAGTCATTTTGTTGTGTTTTTATTCATTTTTAATTCAGTTTTCTATTTTAGTGCATCATGACAAACTAAATGAAAATGAGGAATATTGCTTTGGCAAATAGCTGAAATAAAATCTGTATTTATATTCTGTTTTATTTAGTTCAACTTTAATTTAAGCAATGCGAGTTTATTTGTGGTTGTAGTTTTTCTGTTCTTTGTAGGTGTGGTGATAACGTGACGAGGGGCGTCAGACACACGGAAGCTCTGGAGGATTCGTCAGTCACATCTGATTCATCAACACACGAACACACCAGCACCGCTGTCACTCATTATCAGAGACGCTCGCTCCGGCCTTCAGCGACGAACACAGTCCATGAATAGACACTTCTCACGGCTGACAGCACCTGCGCTCATGACCTCAGACACACACAGCTCAGATCAATGTGATAATTCACTATGGATGAAAAGAGAAGTGAAATAACGTCTTCAACAAACAGTGTTTAAAACTCAAACTACATGCTGTGAAAGCATTACTGATTATGTCCACATCACAGCCATGAACACAGGATTACTCTGAGTCTGTGTGTTTGAGTGTATGATGGAGTCCTGCGGGTCACCACTGCTTTCACAACGCTGGCAGCACACGCGTGTGTTTGCTAAACCATCAGCGCAACTCCACGTGTGTCACAATACACCCGACTGAGATGGAGACGTCTGAACCTCACCACAAATACTGAATCAGATGGAGAACCGAGATCAGACACACAATCAGATCAGACAAATCATTCACCAGCCGAATATTTACCTGAACCCTTAGTGAGCTTTTCAGATGATATTTCAGTAATTTATTAAATGTTCATGTTTCTCTGATTGACAAGCACATAAACTAATAAAATACTTGATATTTTTTAGTGTTTTATTTTGATTGATTTGATTTTATTATATATTTTTTATATTATTTATTTTATTTTCCTCACACACACACTCAGAGCTCTTCATTCTCATCATCATCATCATCATCATCGTCGCGTGTCCCATCAGGATTTCTTCTGTGTGTGTGTGTGTGTGTGTGTGTGATTCATTAACGGCAGCAGCATCACAGCAGGAGGTCTGAGCACTGAGGGCCTCTGGGTAAAAGCTTTAACCTTGTCAATGATACGCTTTGGCTCTCCAGCGAGCATATGAGACAGTATGTGAGCGTATGTGAGAGTATGCGAGAGTATGTGAAAGTATGTAAGAGTATGTGATAGTATGTGAGTGTATGTGAGAGTATGTGAGAGTACTTGAGAGTACGTGAGAGTATGTGATAGTATTTGAGAGTATTTGAGAGTATTTGAGAGTATGTGAGAATATTTAAGAGTATTTGAGAGTATGTGAGAGTATGTAATAGTATGTGAGCATATGTGAGAGTATTTGAGAGTATGTGACAGTATGTGAGAGTACTTGAGAGTATGTGTGCGAATGTGACAGTATGTGAGAGTATGTGAGAGTATTTGAGAGTGTGATATTATATGAGAGTATTTGAGAGTATGTGAGAGTATGTGAGAGTGTGATATTATATGAGAGTATTTGAGAGTATGTGAGAGTATGTGAGAGTGTGATATTATATGAGAGTATTTGAGAGTATGTGAGAGTATGTGAGAGTATTTGAGAGTATGTGAACGTATATGAGCGTATTTGAGAGTATGTGAGCGTATGTGAGAGTACTTGAGAGTATGTGTGCGAATGTGACAGTATGTGAACGTATGTGAGAGTATGTGATATTATATGAGAGTATTTGAGAGTATGTGAGAGTATATGAGCATATTTAAGAGTATGTGAGAGTTTTTGAGAGTATGTGAGAGTATTTGAGAGTATGTGAGAGTTTTAGAGCGTATGTGAGAGTATTTGAGAGTATGCGATAGCATATGAGAGTATTTGAGAGTATGTGATAGTATATGAGCATATTTAAGAGTATGTGAGAGTTTTTGAGAGTATGTGAGAGTATTTGAGAGTATGTGAGAGTATTTGAGAGTATGTGAGAGTTTTTGAGAGTATTTGAGAGTATGTGAGAGTTTTTGAGAGTATGTGAGAGTTTTTGAGAGTATTTGAGAGTATGTGAGAGTTTTAGAGAGTATGTGAGAGTATTTGAGAGTATGCAATAGTATATGAGAGTATTTGAGAGTATGTGAGAGTATTTGAGCTCCACAGGAGACGTTCACAGTGCCATCCCACTTTAACTTCACAGTTAACAACGTCCTTCACATACATGAGCTGACGATCATACATGAATCATGAGCTTCAATTCTCTGATGCTCACATGACATGCAGCTAACTTCAGATGTTTTATTTTGATTGATTTTATTTGGAAAGCATTTATTGGCCATTTTTATGATTTAATTGATTATAACAAACCCTGATTTGAGAAACACTTATCTAGAGCGAATCATGAGCTTCAGTTTCATTGATAAAACTCATTATAACCCTTTTATGTGTAAATTATTAAACCACAAAGAAAATCTTCATGCTTCTTTTTACTTTAAAAACAATAATTTATTAATTTCAGTCACACATCTGACAACTGCAATAAAAACATAAAGGTAAATGTTCCAGAGGTACAGCTATGATTAATTTATGTATTTATATGGTCTTAATAATAATAATAATAATAATAATAATAATAACAACAACAACAACAATAATACACACTTTGAATGTTAAAATGTATTTTTTTTAAGTAATGGACATCAGGGTCAGAAAGAACTGCGGGACATTCTCACTGTCTCACATTCTGATCGAGCTTAATTCAGATCTGTGTGTGAATCTGCTGAATCTGCTGAATTATTTCCCCTCACACTCCTAACAAATACACAAAAGCGTTTGAAATATTAAACTGGCATAAAGAGATGAAATACACTCACCGAGGATCAGAGAAAGTTTGAAGAGAGTGAGAAGATTCGGATCCATGATGAAGAAGCGAGTTTGATTCAATCAGCTCAGATCTCTGAACACATTCATCCTTCATATCCAATCAAACACATCGATCCGGTACATCCGACAGAAGCAGCGGCTGATGAACTGATTCTGGAGCAGCTGAACATCCTCTTCATGCCTGAACCGTCATCATCATCATCATCATCATGAGTCCATCAGCGGAGCGCGAGAGGAGCGATGCGGACCTCAGAGACTCTGTGCTGCTCTCTCTCTCTCTCTCTCTCATTAAAAACATTTTAATGATGAAATATCACCATGAATACTCTCTTATCGTGATATAAGTTTAATAGACAGCGAATCGTCATCACTGAAGCAATTTACTCTGAATTATTTACTACATTATCTAATAATTTTTTACCACAGTAAATAAAATCATCTGAGAAAGATAAAGATAAAGTCAAGGTGTTTGAAACATCTGAAAAACTATAATAAAATATTAATATTAGTTCAAGTATGAATAAATGTAAACACCTTCTCGTAACATAAGCGCAGACTGAGGCAGGAGTTTTATTGTGGAGGATTAAAGCTTTACTAAGAGCGCCACCGTGTGGCGGCATGAAGCACAGCGGAACTCTAAACACGAGGCGTTTGTTTCCAGACGGAAGAGTTTTCTGTTGGACCGCCAGCGCGAAAACTCACATGAATATCAACAAAAACCAAGAGAAAACTCGGCGAAGTTGTCAAATACCACATTTACTGCCGAGGAATGAAGTTCCGGGATAAATCATCGATGTCGGATGTCTCAATCGCTTCACACGTGGGTTTAAGCATGTTTATTCTTGATGGAGATATTCTGTTTATTTGTGTTTAATGAGTTGAAGACTTTAGCCTTTCAAATCAGACCTACTGTATTTAATCTGTAATCATAAAGAGCGTCTTTTGTTCCTTGTGCTGGTCTGATCTGTGCTGGTCTGGTCTGTGTTGGTCTGGTATGTGTTGGTCTGGTATGTGCTGGTCTGGTCTGGTTTGTGCTGGTCTGATCTGTGTGTTCTGCGGCTCACCTGTGATCACCTGTACTTCGTTCTGTCGGGCTGCGTCGCTACTGGAGGAGTCAGTATGTGGTGTGAACTCTCACAGGTACGAGATCCGAATCACTGCCGAAACTCACACTTACGTACATCTCAACGTGATCGTCAGCTTCAGTTCATGACAGACTTTCTCACCTTTATCTTCATGTTTCAGTTCAACTCTTTACTAGAATGAATGAAAATGCACTAGAAAAGAAAAGAATGCAAAATAGAAGCTGTTTCACTGATTGTCTTCGGCTTTTGGAGCTGCTCTAAATGCACTGTAAATGCTTCTGTGTTTCAGGGGAATTTCTTCGATGAGTTCCAGCTGGAGGGAGTGTCTGCCGACGCCAACGAGATCTTTCTGGAAGTGGCTCTTAAAATCTTTCCAGGGCCTTAAAAACAGCTCAGAACGCCAAATCTGTCAAAATCAAGCTGACTGAGAAGAGCTGGCCGTGTCTCGCGCTCGCCGCCGAGCTGGTGAGAAGAAAACAGCCGGCACTACCAGCGAAGATTAGAACAGAACTTGAATAATTAATACTTTTAATAATTTTGCTCTGTTTTTATGTTTTTTATTATTATTTTGAATTCGTTTTTATATTTTCTCTTTTCATTTTAATTTTGTAGTTTTTACCATTTTTATTACATTGTTTTTTTTATATTTTAATAGTTTTTATTCATAAATATTTTTTTTTTAGTACGTCAAGTTAAAGTAAATGAAAATGCTAAAAAAATATTTTTTATTTAATATGACAACTTTGATTGTATTTTTTAAAACTATAATGGCATTGTTTTCTTCCAGTATATAGTATAAAAATGTTTGATAAACCTGACAGCATGATGGTCTGACAGTGATCACACACACACTCACTCTCACACACACACACACACTCACACTCA